AAGGTCAAAGACAGATGAATAAAGAAACCATTGTGCTTCTCTGATATGCACATAAAACAGTGGGAAATTGAGAATTTTGATATACATAGCCTAACTTCATTTGCTTCCCAATCACTCTTATTCTCATATCTGTTTCCTGGAATCTTGGTTCCAGACCCCATCTTTTAATCAAGTATACTATATACCAGGTATAATGTGAGGTCTGATACTTGCATTTTTATCGGTGCCTTTTTGGGACTCCCAATTTTAGATTATTGGTTTTCTACTTGGCTCTTAGCCCACTTTTCTGCTCTTGCTGCTTAACCACCTCCCTCCCCCTTACCCAAACACCCCCAGGGTTTTATAAGGGAAACTCCCATGTCCCGAAGCTGGTCTGGTGGAAATTCATTGGCTAGGCTCAACCTCCTTCCCTCATTTATTTATCAGTTGATGTTTGCCTGTAACCTCCACCATTCTTTGCTTTTCTGTATTGCTCTTATCATCATGTGATATATGTCACATATTCCAGCTTATTTATTGTTTCTCTTCCCCATTAGAATACAAGCTTCATGAGAGAGGAGACTGTTCCATTCATATCTGTATTCCCAGTGATTAGAGTAGTGCTTGGTATACAGTAGCTCGACAAATATTTGTTAACTAAATTAATAACTGGATTAATCAAATGTTTACTGTGTGACTATCATGTGCCAAGTACTGGCCTATAAGATATTGGGGATATAATGTGAGGGAAACAGTCATATTCCCTGCCAGCATGGAGATGACTATCTAGACATTAAAGTAACAAATCACACAAATAAATGTATAATTACAAATAATGATAAGTTTTAGGAAAGAAAATAGCTGAGTGCTAAGAGAGAGTGTAGCACAAGGAACCTGATTTTGATGAGGTCTTTAGGAATGGCCTTCCTCAATTTGACCATGAGAGGGACTAGTCAGAATTTGCAAATCTGCATGCCTCCCTGAGAGTATTTTGAGACTCTACCCCTTTCTTAGTTCAGTTCAATTTCACAAATATTTATTGAATTCTAATATGTGCCAGGCAGTGCTCTAGACACTGGATACATCAATGAGTAAAACAAAGACTCAGCCTGCCCCCTGGCAGTATAGCTTATAGTCTATCAGAGATTGACAAATAACAACAAATAAACATCATACATCAGCAAATCACCAAATACATTAGAAGTTGGTAAGTGTGTAGAAGAAAGCAGAAGGAAAGCAGGTTAAGAGGAAGAGGGGCTGAGAGACTACAGATTTAACTAGGGTGGTTAGTGTAAGCCTCATGGACAGGGTGACATTTGAGTAAAAAATAAAATAAAGAAGATGAGAGAGTTAACATGAAGATATCTAGGGAAAAATTGTTTTAAGTAGAGGAAACATTCAGAGGTTAGTTGCTAAGGTGGCTATGTGTTTGGTATGTGTGAGAAAGACAAGGATCACAGTGTAACTGGAACAGAATGAGCAAAGGAAGTTTTAGATGGAGCCAGAGAAGTAATGGGGGAGCAGATCAGGTAGAACTCTTTATAAGGACTTGGCTGTTTTTTTTCTTTTTTTTCCTTCTCTGAGTGAAATAAGATTCTCTTACAGTTTCATGAGCAAAACAATGACATAAACTGTTCTAGGTTTTAATAGATCACTGTAGCTATGGTACTGAGGATAAACTAGGGGCAAAGGAGAAGTCTAGTTCAGTTAGGAGGCTATTGTACTAATCCAGGAGAAAGACAATGGTAGCTTGAATGAAGTGTAGTTAAGTAACAACAGAGGTGGTGAGAAGTGATCAGATTCTGGGCATATTCTGAAGATAGAGTTGATTCATTAATGAATTTTTGATGGATTGAATAGGAAAGGTGAGAAACAGACAGCTAAGAATTACAGGTATGTTGTGTTTTCATTTTAATTCAGTTCAAAATATTTTCTAATTTCCCTTTTCTGTCTTAGCATAGGTTATTTAGAAGTGTGTTGTTTAGTTTCATAATGTTTGGAGATTTCCAGTATTTTTGTTTGTTTGCTTTTAATTTCTAATTTAATTCTGTTGTGGTCAGAAAACATATTTTATATGATTTCATCATTTTAAACTTACCAAGACTTGTTTTATGGCTCAGAATATGGTTTATCTTTTAAAAAGTTCTGTATGATTAAAAAGAACTTGTATTCTGCTATTGTATGGAGTGTTCTGTAATTGCTACTTATATCAACTTATTTGATCATTTTTCCAATTTTTTATATTATTACTGCTTTTCTATCTCTATTCTATCAATTACTGACAAAGAGATATTATATTCTCCAACTCTAAGTGTGAATTTATCTATTTCTCCTTTGAGTTTTATGTTTTTGCTTCATGTAAATTAAAGCATGTAAATTATTAAGGACATGAACATTTAGGTTTGTTATGTTCTCTTGGTGAATTGACTTTTTGGCATCCCTTGCTTTGTAATCCACTTTGTCTGACCTTAATGTAACCAAGCCAGCTTTCATTTCATTAGAGTATATCATGGTTTATCATTTCCATCCTTTTACTTTTAGTATGTCTATGTCCTTATATTTTAAATGGGTTCATTGTAGACAGCATTTAGACAGTTGAGTCTTGCTTTTTTTATGAAATCTGAAAATCACTGCCTTTTAATTGGTGCATTTGGATCATTAATACTTAATGTAATTCCTGATATGGTTGGGTTTAAATCTAACACCTTGATATTTATTTCCTATTTGTCTTGTTTCTTGTTTCCTTTTCCTCTTTTTAATCTTTTATCTTTTAAATTAGTGTTTTAACTTATTATATTCTTCCTTCAAACAAAATTATAATACTTAATTTATAGTATAAGAACCTTATCAAGTACATTTTCATTTCCCCCTTGCAGCCATGTATGCTACTGCCAAATGTTGCACTTATGTTATGAACCTCATAGTGCATTATTCTTATATTTGCTTTAAGCAGTAAATTTTCTTTTAAAGAATTTTTTAAATAAGAAATGTATCTTTTATTTATCCATACATTCACTATTTCCAGTATTTTCATTTTTTGTGTAGATCCAAAATGATCATTTTCCTCGGCCTGAGGACTTTTAACATTTGTGGTACTGCTCCGATGGTTATGAATTCTCTCATCTCCATCTCATCTTTGTTTTAAAGTCTATTTTGTCTGATGTAATTATAGCTCCCCCAGCTTTCTTTTGGTTTCCATTTGTGTAGAATATCTTTTTCCATCCCTTCACTTTCAGTCTGCACGTTATCCTTACATCTGAATTGAGTCTCTTACAGGCAGTGTATAGATACATCTTGTTTCTCTCTTATACATTCATTCACTCTTTATCTTTTGATTGGAGAATTTAGTCCATTTACATTTAAAATAATTATGGATAGGTATGTACTTATTGCCATTTTGTTCATTGCCTTTTGGTTGTTTTGTAATTCCTCTGTTCCTTTCTTTATCTCTTGTTATCTTCCCTTTGTGGTTTAATGACTTTCTTTAGTGATATGTGTAGATTTCTTTCTCACTATCTTTTGTGTATTTGTGGTTACCATGAGGCTTACATATAACAACTTAGATTTATAACAGTCTATTTTAAGTTGCTCTGAACTATTCCCAACCCTTGTGCAAGACCTAAAAATTTTTCTGTCTCTTTCTTTTGTTCTCTCCTCCCCCCACCCCCCTGCCTTGGGTAATTTCCTCAAATGGATACATTAGCCAGTACTCAAGAGCTCTTTAGAAATCTCCAGAGGGGACTCTCTGGGGATCTCTCTTCTCCACTACTCTGTACTGTGCCTTCTAGCCTCCTTTGCCTTCTTGACCTCCAAATGCCATCTCTTTAACTGAAGAAGAATTCAGGGCTCTGGATTTCCTCTTCTTGTTCAGTAAGCTTAGCTTACCTCATTTATTTTTCTTTCTTTAGGAATCACTGTTCTGTGCTGCCTGGTGTCAAATGTCTGAAAACCATTGTTTCATATATTTTGTCCTGTTTTTTCATTGTTTGACTCTTGATAGTCTATAAAGGTTGGAATTTGAAGTTTCCTGCTTTGTCTTTCAATGACCAAGGAGACTCTGTCCTTAATATACGCAAACATTCTTTAAGTATCTTTAGTAATGAAATTGATTACTTCAGCGGTGCCTGGGTGGCTCAGTCAGTTGAGCGTCTGACTCTTGATTTCAGCTCAGGTCATGATCTCAGGGTTGTGAGATCAAGCCCTGCATCGGGCTCCATGCTCAGTGGGAAGTCTGCTTGAGATTCTCTCTCTTCCTCTCTCTCTGCCCCTCCCCCACTCATGTGTGCTCTCTCTCTAAAATAAATAAATAAATCTTTAAAAAAAAAGAAATTGGGGGCTGGGAGGGATGGGATGGCTGGGTGATAGACACTGGGGAGGGTATGTGCTATGGTGAGTGCTGTGAATTGTATAAGACTGTTGAATCACAGACCTGTACCTCTGAAACAGGTAATACATTATATGTTAAAAAAAAAAAAGATAGCAGGAAGGGAAAAATGAAGGGGGGAAATTGGAGGGGGAGACGAACCATGAGAGACTATGGACTCTGAGAAACAAACTGAGGGTTCTAGAGGGGAGGGGGATGGGGAGATGGGTTAGCCTGGTGATGGGTATTAAAGAGGGCACATACTGCATGGAGCACTGGGTGTTACATGCAAACAATGAATCATGGAACACTACATCAAAAACTAATGATGTAATGTATGGTGATTAACATAATAAAAAATAACAAAATTATTTCACAATAAAACTTCTAAAGGCAGATCTCGCGGGTGCCTGGGTGGCTCAGTTGGTTAAGCGACTGCCTTCGGCTCAGGTCATGATCCTGGAGTCCCGGGATCTAGTCCCGCATCAGGCTCCCTGCTCAGCAGGGAGTCTGCTTCTCCCTCTGACCCTCTTCCCTCTTGTGCTCTCTATCTCTCATTCTCTCTCTCTCAAATAAATAAATAAAATCTTAAAAAAAAAAAAAGATCTCGCTGTTTGGTATCCTAATAGAGGACTATGTGAATAAAAAATCAACTTACTTTATTTCACCGTGGTACCCCAAATCTTGATGGTTTAGCAATGTTTCCAGGAGATTCGAAGTTAGATATAATCCATGCTTTCCACATATAGCCGTGACCTGCAAAGTAGGAAAGGATTTGGAGTTTCATTATAATGAAATTAAGATTTGAATTTTAGCTAACATAACACTGTATGTTAACTATACTGGAACTAAAATGTAAAAAATTAAAATAAAAATAACAAATTTTTATTTGATTGCTGCAGAGGTATATTTCATTACTTGAAGCCAATGAACTTTGAAATGTTGATCTTAAATTTTTGCCAGCAATGGAATGGGTGGTCAAGGCCTAGAAGTTATATATACTTATTATACAGGTAAATTGCAAAATATTTTTGTGTATTTCCTTTGATTTATAAAACAAGCTTGATGTATTAGCTTGGCCAATGTTGCCATCTGCATTTCATATAGGATAAAACCAAGACTTAGATTAAATCACTTCCTTGATGTTACACAGTTCATAAATGATGGAACTTAGTCTAGAAACCAGATGCCCAATAAATTTTTGTTGGATCAATGAATAAAGTGTCATTGTAGTTTCCCAGATATTTAATATTTTCTGAGTCTAGCTGACAAATCAGTTCAGTTCTCAGGTTGGTGGGTGGGTGACACTTAGATTCAAACATGTCAGACTTTTAGGGGTATGATAGCATGTTTTGTGTGTTTAGCATATATATATATATATATATATACACATGTGTATATATATATATTTAGAGACAGAGAGAGAGAGGGGGAGAGCATAGACATGTGGGGGTTGGAGGGGCAGCGGAAGTGGGGGAGAGGGGGAGGGAGAGAGGGAATCTTAAGCAGGCTCCACGTGGAGCCTCATGTGGGGCTTGATCTCATAACCCTGAGATCACGACCTGAGCCAAAATCAAGAGTTGGACACTTAACCAACTGAGCCACCCAGGTGCCCCTAGCATAATGTTTAAACATAGACTTTGGAATGAAACAGGACTTATTTTGGACACTAGATCTGTTGTCTGTGATCTGTCTGACCTTTCTATGCCCAGTGTTTCATGTACTAAATAAGACTAGTATTTTCTAATTCCTAGGGTTCTGTGAGGGTTACATGAGAAAATAAGCAGTTAGAATAATGCCTCGCTTTTAGTACACATTTGATTAATATTTGTTGAAATGAAGAGATGAAGAAAGGAGAGAGAGGAAAGAGGGATGAGAGGAGATGATAGGAAAGGAGAGAAGGGGAGAGAGAAAACAAGAAAAGGAGAAAGAAGGGAAGAAGGTATGGGAGGAAGGAAGGAAGGAAGGAAGGAAGGGAGGAAGGAAGGAAGGAAGGAAGGAAGGGAGGGAGGAAGGAAGGAAGGAAGGAAGGAAAGGTAAAGAAAAAGAGATGTCTAATTTGTGTTTGGACTGAACAGTAGCTACTATTATTACTTTGAGAGGAAGTTCAGTATAGTGACGTATTTATTATGCATGTTTTTTTACTCTTGATGATTTGACATCCAGGGCTGTGCTGACTCTGGAGTGATTGCCCCTCCCAGGGCTAGCCAGTTCCTAGAGAGGGTAAAGGACTGGCTTTAAAGTGTGTTTTTCTTTCATACGCAAACCAACCTCTTCTTTATGGGGGGGAGGAGGTCTCTCACCCTGGGGCCACTATTTCCCTACCCTTATTGCCCCAGGGTCAAGTACTAGGCAACTAGGGATAGCCCCTTTGCCCCAGAGCAAATTATTATTAATTTGCTATATATTAATTATATATTAATTATCCAAACTAGCCAATCCTAAACCTGCTTACCCTGCCTTGTCCATTCCACCATGAGGGCTCCTGCCCACATTTCCCCCTCATCCCCCCTGCCTCCTGACTAGCCCTGCTGCTTCTGGTAGAGGCTGTGTGGGTGTGCCATGCTCCCTTGCCTTGGAAACTGTGTTTAACAAGCTATCTCTTCAGTGGCAATCATCTCCTGATCTGTTGGTCTGAACATAGCTGAATAATATATAAAACCTGGATTTTAAAACAGTGACAAAAAACTAGTCTTTGTTTATCTTTATGGAAGAAAACAAACAACAAATCTAGGTTCAAAACTTGTACATGTTACTTCCTAGGTATAGAGGAGTCCTCTCAGGGATGCTTAACAGAGAAAAAAAGATCATCAATTTGGACCATAAAAAACTGAGTAAGGGTTCACCAGAAGAGTAAGGGGTCAGGGAAAATTCCAGGCCGAAGAAAATCATGTGTGATTAATGGATGAGAAAGGGTATGGTGCTTTTTAGAAACTGCATATTTTTGACATTATCCACTCTACTATAGTTTTATACCCTTTTCCAGGCTGGGCAGTAATGATCTGGTCACTAGAGCCTCTCTACAAGACACGGGATTACTGAGGGCTGCAGCTGTGTTTCATTCATTTTTCTCACCATTTGTTTAGCACCGTGTTGAAAAATAAAGTATCAATAATTATTGAACAAATAAATATGTAGATGAACAAGGAAGTGAATGAAAGAGTTGAAGACAGTCAAGAGTAGAGTGTCTATGGGCAGAGATTGGCAAAAATAAATTTAGAGAGGTAGAAATTAGTCACATTATGCCATTTTACTCCTTAAATAAGAATTGAATTATCTTCATGATTACAGCATATTAATGTATTTTTAAACATCAGTGTACGAGGTTATTCTAAAAACAGTTCATTTACTTCTGGCAACACTGATTTTGCTCTAGGCTAAAATGAACAGCAGATTAGAAATAGTACATCAGGGTTCCTAGAAGCAGATTGATTGATGGCTGCTAAGAGCTGACAGTTATAAAGGAGCAAAAAAACATCTACCAGGAAATTCTGGCAACTTAGTGTTATTCAGGATTATTACTAAAATTGTTTAAAGCTTGAATATTCATAATGATGACCCTTGTTCAAAAAGAAAACATTTCATTATGTGCAGTTTCTTCTGTTTAGTAAGGAAATGTTTTTTAATCAAATGTAAATAAAATGTCTATGTTATTTAGAAAATGACATGTGAAATAAATATTCATTTCCCCAAAATGCTCCTTGAAAGAGTGGCACACAGATGCTCTCTCAACTTCCTCTCTTCCCACTTAAGGCTCCATTTGCATTTTACCCCATCACTGTACTTAAACTGTATTTGCCAAGTCACTGGTAACTTCCATGGTTTGAAATTGCATGAGTACTTTTCAGTCCCAAATATTGGTCTCTTCACAGCATGTAACATGACTGATCATGCCATCCTTCCATAAATCTCTTTTTTGGCTTTCTTGACCACTCCCATGCCTCTTGTGATTATTTTTAGTCTTCTTTGTTGGCTTCTCTTCTTCTACAGTGTCCTCCTCTACTTTCCCTTTTTACTTCCCATTGTGTCCTTGGGTAACCCTAACTACTCCCGTGGCTTCAACTGTATATCGAAGATCTTTAAATCGTTACTTTAGCTTTAATCTCTCAACCCAGAACAATGTATTGAAAACTGAGCTCCTCAGCCCATCCTCCACCCCTCCAAAGCTACTCCTTGTCTGTTTTCTATCACAGAGAATGGTACCACCACTCACCAAGTTGCCAAGGCCAGAACCTTGGGAGTCATTTTTGATTCTCCCTAATTCAGGGCCCATATTTAGTTAGTCACCAAAACCTACTTTTCTACCTCCTTAATATCTCTGTCTCTCCTGTTAACTGGCCTGGTTTAAAGCCTCCTAATTTCTTGCTTGAATTATTGGAATAGCCTTCTAAAGGGTCTCTTGACCTCTAATTCTTCATATTCCATTAGACTGCTTTTTTCAAATTTCAAATTTGATCATATCATTCACTGTTTAATATCTTTTGATGATCCCTTTGGGCCTTCAGGATAAAGTTCAGCTCCTTCGAAAGCCCCTTCATAAACTGGCTCCTAGTTTCCATTCTAACATCAACTTGGGCAGCATCTCCCACCATCCCCAGCCACCACACCCCTACTATATTATGTCTGTATGAATGACTTCCAGTTCCCTGAATTAGACATGCTTTCTCTCATTTCAGTCCTGTTTCACATTGTTCTTTTTACCTAGAATACCTTTTCCTATCCCTTCCTCTGCCCCTCCTCCTAATTCTTTGCCAAATTCACCTGTTCTCTAAGATTTAGTATTTGCATCATCTTTTTGGAGGGGTTTTGAGCCAGGCTAGCTTGTTGTTCTTTCTCTGTGTTCCAAGTTACTGCCATCACTGCATTTGTCATACAGAAGTGTGACATGTTTAAAATGTCATCTTTCCCCTGAGCTCCTGGAGAACTCAGGAACTGAAATCATAATAGTCTCCTGTCCTTAGTGGCGTATTATAGTGCTCAGAACACTGGATGTGGATCTATGTTGCCTCAGCAATCCTGCCGAATCCATCATTGCATCAAAGATGGGCTAGAGGAACAGGAGGACCGAGTCCACAGAATGGGGATGGTAGATATTTGACATGTTTTTAGACTGTTCATTGAGAATGGAAAGTTTCATTCATTTGAGTGGCAAGACCCACAGATTATCCTTCAAGACTGCATTTATTTATCTGAGAAGCTACAGATGATCTGTGAGCCCTCTGAAATGGCTGTGAGGATGGCACCCCCCCAAAAAAACACACAAGGGCACAACAGGGTGCATAGATTTCATGAGAAACTTAAGGAGGTCTGTGATTCTTTCCCCTACACTCCAAGGAGATTAAGAATTGCTGTTCAAAAAGAGAAGCCCTTCCAACTCATAGCCTTTCCCTGTCTACCCTGAAGTCCTATGTCTAGGAACATGAATGTGCAGGCACAGCTGCTGTTGCTTTTTGTATCCAATGTCCCTTGGGCCTCAATTTGTCTCACGTTCTGGGGAAACAGAATTCTATTTTACATGCCTCCCAGACTGCAATATACTTTGAGTGAGTTCCAGATGTCTTAAGAGATGCCAGATGGCTCAAGAGAGACAGACCAGCTTCAAGGAAAATGTGCCCCATTTCCTTGGATATGAACCACAAATTTAAGCTTTCAGGGCCAGCTCTGATAGCCAGTGCTCAATGTGGCCATCACTTGACCCTGGAAATATCCTCCTTCCTTGGGCTGTTTTGAGTAATAATTTAACCAAATACTGATTTTTTTTTTTATAATGAAAAAGAAACTAGTGTTTACTGAGTGCCTCATATATTAGCGTGGTAAGTGCCTTCACATACTTATCTTGTTTAATCCTCACAATAGATGCAGGAGATAGATATTTGAAACCCAGTTTGTTTGTTTTTTTTCCAGCTAAAAAATCTGAAGACTCAAAGAGTTTAAGCAAATTTATTTTGATTCATAATTTATTTATGTTTTATTCTATTAGTATCACCTGAGAACATTCAAGCTTCATTGATGGTATCATGTAATTTCCAATCTAACAAAGAATTGCTGCTTCTTATTCTATTTCCACTGATATTATGAACACAATAAAAGCCATTTATGTTGTGTGGAATCTCCTGCAGTGTGCTCTCTCTCTCCCTCTTTCCAGTGAAACATACTTGCATGTGTAATATTCACATACATACACACACATGTACACACTATCATGACCTTTGCCTTTGCATGGTTAGCTGACTGTGTAAATGAAAGCACAGAGAAAGCTGCTTCTGTCCTGGAATAAGAATCCACTTCCAGCATCCTGTGTCCTTGACTTTCTTAGTAGAATGTCATGTGCTCCTCTTAATTCTCTCAATTCTAACCCCTGTTTACCTAGATGAAAGGCATTTTCCAATCTTTTCTATAGCACTTTCTTTCTTTCTTTTTTTTTTCCCTGCAATTATAAATCCCTTCTACTCCTCTGGAATTCTAAGTCTTATATCCTGGACTCAAAGGATAATTCCAGATATCTTTTGCTCAATAGAGTTCCAATTCTGGCTCTTAATATCTAGTACTCTACTGTACTTTGAACCCTGGCTCTGCTGCTTGCTAGCTGTGGCCCTTAGGTGATTCAATTGGCCTGAGACTCAGTATTTTTCATTAAATGGGTATTATAACATCTATCTGGATTTTGTAGTTATCTGTAAATGTTAAATGAGAGAATGTAAATAAAGCATTTAGTGCAGTGCTTCGCACTTAGTAAGAACTCAGTAAAATCTGATGGTGACAAGTTGTTGTTGATGAAATTGTAGTAATAGTCATAATTATTATTTTACCTGTATACAAGGTAGCCTCATGACTAGGGTTTGTTTGGCTAAAGACAACACTTGAGTTTATATGGTTCTGGATCCTCTTCCATAAAACACGTCTGCACTGTTAATGCTCTTAAACAGCATGCTAATCTCTATCAGCAATAAATCACATTAGTTCCTAAAAATTGGGTGTTCTAAGGAATGGGATACCACATGCTGATCTCACTGGAAGCTGGTAGAGGGTGTGAGAAATGAACATTTGGCCCTGGAAAAATATTTGTTATCCATTATGAAATATTATTTGGATGTTATCCTATTCTCTATTATTAACATAGAACATATCCCCGCGTAAGTAATTCCTGGACCAATTCTGCATATTCTACAATTCCTTTTTGCTTTTGTTTTTCTCCTCTCAGGCACAGAAAACAAACAATTGTATAATATCATCCACAGGCAGAACACAGATCATAACTGAGCTTTCTCTTAGACCTTGAGGTAGGCTTTGGAGACAAATATATCGGAACTCTAAATTTCGTTACCTTCGCGGGGGGCAGGGAGCCAGAGAAAGAGTGGTCTTCTTTCTGAAAACCCAGACTGAGGCCCTCTAGGTCGAGTTTTCCATGGGTTGTCCTTAGTGCCATCAGGATCTCCAATAGGTCCTTGCCCACTTCTGACCAAAGGCTGGCATCTCGAGGAGTCGTACTGCATGGAGGGTCAGGGGAAAGCCTGTGAAAACATGATCCACCCAAAGCCGCTGCATGTTTTCATACCACATCTCTCAGCCCTGACATACACCGTGAACCCAGAGAACCCACCCAGTAAGGTCTCCTAAGTCTCAGGAACCTGGTCATGAGGTCTGCACATAGAGATTTCATAGATTATCTCCAATCTGTTCCATTCTACTGACCACTAGAGTCTTCTCCAGGAGGCACCAACCAATTCGGCTAGAACAGAAACCAAAATTTGTAATCCACTCTCACTCTTTTTTCCAGGTTGAGAGGAACAATTACAAGTGACCACAGTAGTTTACTTTAGCTGCTTGATCTTACTTCTCTTAAGCCCAGATAATTATTGATGGCAAGTCAAACTTCCAAACTGTCCCTTGCCACAGGCAAAGCAAAGTGGATCCTGCCAGATCCCCTATAACCATGGAACCTCTCTGTAGAAGGAAATCTTGAATCAAGTGAACTTCCTGTGTTCTCCTTGACTCTGCAATTTTTATCTGGAAAACCGAGAAAAGTTTTGGGAATAATGATCTTGCAAATGTTTGTAATTATTATGATGGTTTATCTCACTGACTATTGTTACTTTAAATAATAGGTGAAAACCCAAGGGTGATAAAATGTTAGAGTCATTTATTTTATGAAACTAGTTTGAGATGTTTACTCATTTAGCATTCAAATGATGTGTCATTCCAGATCCAGCTGAACTATCTTCTTGGCAGTGAAGCTTTTCCTAATTTCCACTGTCTCAACGTAAAATGCCATTTCCCTACAGGGACAGTCTCTGACATCTCCCAACCTCCATTCCTGTAAATCAGCTTCCTTTCAGTGGTGTGTCAGTAAACTTAACAACCCACTGTCCAAGATAATGCCCTGATTTGTTGCATTACTAATTTTCGTGGTTTAAGTACTCCCACCATGGCCAACTTCAAACTACAAAAAGGATGTCACTGAAAGACGATCTGGGAAGTGGTGCTAATTGGCCCTCAGTGATGCTCCAGCACCCCATGCTTGAGCAGCTCTTTCATAATTCCTTGTTCTTTTCCTAAATAAGTCTCCCTTAGGTTGCCATCACATCTTTATTTCTTTACCTATTGTTTCATGTCTGACTTCCCTATTAGACTGCTCCATCAGATGTGGCTCAAGTCTGTTTTGTTTCTTACTATTTCCTGGGGATCTTGTACAGTACTTGGAATTGATTATTTTTATATGTATTTAACTTTTACTAGAGGTCATATTGTATCTTCTTTTTTTCTTAAAGGATTTTATTTATTTGTATGAGGGAGAGAGAGAGAGGGAGTACACATGAGTGGGGTGAGAAGCAGAAGGGGAGGCAGAGGGGGAGGGAGGGAACCTCAAGCAGATTCCCTGCTGAGCGCAAAGCCTGATGTGTGGCTTGATCTCACGACCCTGAGATCATGAGCTGAGCTGAAATCAAGAGATGGTCGCATAACAAACTGAGCCACCCAGGTCCTCCTGTATCTTCTTTTTGCTCTGTGACTCTTACTTGAATTTTGGCCTTACAGCTCATATTTTCTGAAAGCTTGGTACAGGAAAGAAGGAGTGGCTGTTTGTCTTTATTTGGGTCATATAGTTTCTGCACCCTCCTTCCCAGTTCAGAATGTTCTCCAGCTCAGGAGTCTGCCTCTCAGTCTAGCAGGGGAAAATGCTAGCTATGTGCTCTACGAGACTCTCTTTGCTGAGAGAGCCCATGACCCAGACCTTGCCAATCAGATGTGTCTGTCCCAGATCTGAATCGCAAGTTTTCCTTCCTCTTTCCTTTTCTTGCAATGCCAGTTCCTGGGGGTAGGAATTCGTGAGGCTTTGGCCCCTGTATCCGAAATACAAGTATGAAATGGGCAGGAGTTGTATGGAACCCATTTGCTTCAGCTGGTGGGGTTTCTTAGGAAACCTGCTGTGGGAGGTGGTTTCATTTGGTCCAACTTAGGTGAGGAGAGCTGTTGCCACAGGTGATGCTGGAGGCTTTTTAAACATCACAGAGCTGCCCCATTAAAGGCTCTACCTGACAGAACATGGGAGGGCCTTTTCCTGAGCAGCATGTTAATTAAAAAAGAGCCTGGGTTCATTATAGGCCATCAGTTCTGCACTTCCACAAATACACTGTCTGGTTTGTATAAAGCAGCACCTTCTCTGATGAGTTCAAAGTGATCTCTTTGTGCACCATTTTTATAGAGTAGGTATCCAGATGTCTCTGCAAGTGGATAATTGGAGGTGCCAATTACATTAAAAAATATTCACTGAGCATCTCCCATGTGCCGGGAACGATGCTGGACACCAAGCTGGCCAGGGTAGACACTATTACTAACCTCAAATGTCAAGTGAGTAATTACAAATACAGTGGCTGTCAGGCAGGGAAAGGACTGTGGGGCCATACCACAGAAAGACAGAGAGATAGAAGGTAGTCTAGGGCTCAGAAACGCCTTCCTGTCCAGGACTCATTAAGACCCATATCTGCCAGTGGCACCTCACAGGGCCCAGATCTCATTGTCTGTGTTTTATGAAGTGTGGTTGCTGATTATTAAATATTTCTGGGGCTTAGGGCCCTCCATAGGACAGTTGCTCCCAGATATTTGACTGGTGTACCCACCTGGCTGTGTCTTTCTTTGCCCTTTGAGCCTTGAGGGAAAGACTGGGCCTTGCCAACCTCTGAATTCACTGCGCCCGGCAAGGTGTCCCTGGCAAGCAGCTGGTATTCAATGAGTATAAAAAGGCATGAAAAGGGCACACTGTAGAAAGGAAGCAAGTCCAACACTTGGCCCAGGGCCATTTTTATAGGAAACTACTTTCCTAGAGTGAAGTGATGAATTCCAATACCGTGGCTCTTAGCCACTGTGTCCCATTATTTGTAACTGAAAAGAGTGTCTTATGGTAGGATAGTTTAAAAATAATTAAAAAAAAATCTTATATAGCATTTCCTATGTATCAGATACTGTTTTTAAGAACTTTGCGTTAAGTTACTCTCCAAATCTATGAAGTGAAGGGAAATCTCTTATGGCTCCCATTTCACAATGGAAGCACAGAGAGGGTAAGTGACTAGCTCAAGGTTACACAGCCATTAAATGGCAGAAACAGGAACTGAGCCTAGGATTCTGGTAATGGAGGCTATGCTCCTAACCACTGCACTTTGTCAACTTTCTTGGAGAACACAGGGACTATCATGCTCTACTGTGCCTCCTCTCTAAAGATACTCCTCACATCCTATTTTTACTTTGTGTCATTTCTTTCCCTTGAGATTACATTATTGATTCTGGTACCTGAAACCCTTCTTTGCTAGTGCCTGTAAGCCAGAAGTTCATTGACCAAACATATTTCTGGAATCACACTTTTTAGACTGGAGTTCTGCATCAGTATACAATCATTTCTTATTCTATAATGAGGGTTTTCAATGTCATGTGGCAACCTCATAAAAAAAGACACATGCTTGATCTCAAGAAACCTGTGCAATTGGTGCAAATAACTTTCTGTGCTGGCCTGTCTACGAGAGAGAGAGAGAGGAAATGATAAGCATAAGGTGAAGGGCACAGTAATTCTAAACTGGATGAGCTTTTTGGGTGAATGGCCTCCAAAATCACATCCAGTTCTAGAAGTCTAGGAACGCTATGCCCAAGGAAAGAAAGAAAGTACCTTTGGCCATGATGATGACAACCCTGAGATTTCCTCGGGTTGCTGCCCACAGCTTCTTTGCTTTGCTGTGGATCCTCTAAAGCTGCAGCTCTTAAAAACCAGAGGAGCTTTCCATAATTCACCTGAAAATGCAATAGGAAAACAGAACATCCTCATTTAGTGTACACGTAAGAGAAAGAAAAGCCCATAAGTGAAATGCCTGTTGAGACAGAGCTTTTGGAAATATTTTAATAAAAAACTTTTATTAAGGGGTGCCTGGGCGGGTCAGTTGGTTAAGCATCCAACTCTTGGTTTTAGCTCAGGTCCTGATCTCAGGGTCATGAGATAGAGCTCTGCATCGGGCTCTGAGCTCAGGACAGAGCCTGCTTCAGATTCTCTCTCCTCCCTCTGCGCCTCCTACTTGTACTCTCTGTCTCAAATAAATATATAAAATATTAAAAAAATAACTTTCATTAAAAGTTTTTAAACTGGTTTTAAAAAATAGAGTATAATAATTATTAGTGCTCTTTACCAAATATTCCTATTATTCTCCCTTCCTGATTGCCCTGTGGTTGGGTAGGGCTATGGGAACATTTCTGGACAATGAGTTGTGAGCAGAAGTGACATGTGTTCCTTCTGGTTGAGGATTAAACTGCTCACACAAGATGCTCCAGAGCTTTCTTTTTTCCCCCTCTGCCCGCACATCCAAAAATACACCAGAGTTACTGCTTCATCAGCCTGGATTTTGGAGCTAAGATAAATGACAATACTGTGACTGACTTACTATGGAAATGTAAGTGAGAAAAAACTTTTGTTGTTTTGGGCCACTGACACTTTGGGACTATTTGTTACTACAGCCTAACCTAGCCTCTAGCTTCTCTCTCTCTCTCTCACATCTCTTATATATTTATTATATAAAATATAGGCTTATTTTTCGATATATCTAGCAGATTATTTGAGGACAAAGCTTTATTAAGCTAAGTGAAGAATCTCGAGGACCCTCCTCCCCCACCACACACACGCTTTCTGCCCCCCGCCCCCAGGAAAGGACTGAGGGAATGTTGTCCATTTCCATTGCTGGTCTGGATGACATCCTAGGGACTCTGGTGGGCAGACAACTCCAGGGTGCTGGAGGAGGTAACATTTGGGGAGGGAAGCTATATAAGTTTCTGATATAAACTTGGTCTCAGGCCAGAGAATTTGATGGAACTGAAGATTCATAGTGGTTGTACTAAGTGACATTGTATCACTAAATACTTATCATCAATATACAACTAATTATAGTTGGTTAGAGATGGGCATGAGAAAAAACTAACATTTATTTGAGTACCTACTATATGCTAAGCTCATGACCAGGTAATTTGCATCTGTTATATTGCTAAATTCTCATACTACCCTTATGAGGTTGGTTTTGGCCTACTTTTCTTTCTTTCTTTTTTTTTTAAGATTTTATTTATTTGGGGTGCCTGAGTGGCTCAGTCAGTTAAGTGGCTGCCTTCGTCTCAGGTCGTGGTCCCAGGGTCCTGGGATCGAGCCCCATGTCGGGCTCCCTGCTCTGCAGGAGACCTGCTTCTCCCTCTCCCACTCCTGCTGCTTGTGTTCACTCTCTCGCTGTGTCTCTCTCTGTCAAATAAATAAATATCTTTAAAAAAAGATTTTATTTATTTATTCATGAGAGAGAGAGAGAGAGAGGCAGAAGCAGAGGGAGAAGGAGGCTCCCTGCTGAGCAGGGAGCCCGATGCGGGACTTGATCCCAGGACCCCGGGATCAGGACCTGAGCCAAAGGCAGACGCTTAACCATCTGAGCCACCCAGGCGCCCTGGCCTGGTTTTCTATCAGCACATGCTCACTCATGATTTACCCACTGCTATTACTTTTTCCTGTTGTAGAATATATTCCTCTAGAATTTGCTTGCACTTGGACCGTGCTTTGTATCCACCCACAAATGTAAGCTTGGAAAGTGCAGTGGTCAGAGCAAGAACCGTGGAGTTGTTACTGGGGAGCCTTTACCTCTGCCCTGGGTCTACCATTAATTTTCTGGGTGCACTGCATGATTTCCTTACCCCACTGTGGGTCTTGGTTTCCTAATTAGTAAAATGGTGGTCATAGTATATTTCAAAGATACCCCCCACCTCTAATCCTCTAGGAACTGTCCTGATACATCCTAGGCAAATTAACCATTCTTATCTCAGAATTTACAGACTGACCAACTTGTCAATGAGACTCAAGTGAGCCCATTATCCTAAATCTGAAACACCACCCCAATAGTGCTAGGAGCAGACAGTGAAAGCCAGGACAGGCAAGTCTTTGAAAAAGAAATCAAGCAGGCCTAAGAGACCTTAAACTATTTTCTATTCTCGTCTATTCTGACTAGAAATTTCCACATATGAATAAAAATAAGCTTTGTGTCTTAGGGTTCAATAGTAAAGGTTATTTTTAAGAAAGAAACTAACCTTTTAATTCTATTACTCTGGTGGGTACAAATAAAATAAAAGGAACCCACATTTAAAATAGCAAAATGGCTGTACCATTTCTGGAGAGTCCCTCCTAGAAAATCTCTGGCAAAGGATCGTGACTGTTGGTAACTGTAGAGGGACTTCATGCCTCAAGAAAAGGCGGCTCAGTTGAGATTGGAGAAGAAATCCTGAAGAGATAGGATCCAGGGTCTTCAGCTCTTTCTGGAAATTTTCTAGTAAGCCAGAACTCAAAGGGCATGATCTGAGTTCTCTTCTGACCAGGGCAAGAAGAAAAGCATCTTCTCTTGTTGTTCCACTTGGCCTCTGGCCAAAATCCTGACACAAGAGCAACAGCAACAATAAATTAACAGGGCTCTAAAATAAAAAGGCTGAAGGCCAATGCAAGGAAGCAGAAGCCTAGGGGGACTTGTATCAGAGCATCCACTTTCAGGCCTGGCCTAGAACAGGACAAGTTGGTAATACTGGAAGCAGGAATTCAATCTGGGTGTATTCATTAGTTTGCAATGCCTCGGGACCTTTGCCTTCAGGAGAAGAAAAGCAAATCATTTTAGAGTGCATACTCTGTTAGAAGGCTCCTTAGGTTATATCACAGGTCTTCTGTAAAATATTTTTTTAATTATAAGGGAATTTAGAATGCCAAGTCTTAGAGACCCATTGGATCTGGGAGGAAGAAGGTAGGAGAAAGATGAGAAGTTCAGGTGAGGCATTTGAGGTTTGCCTGTGAGCTCACCAGGGAGCTTCTTGGAAGCCGATTGGACATATGGCTTCTGATGTCCCCCCGTCCATCCTCAGATTGTCTCCTCTGCTCCATATTAAAATCTACAGGCATCAAATAATACTCTTCATCCACAATAGAAAACAAGTCCAGTCTTAGTATAGGTACCTCAGGTTGGTCAGAGCTGTCCCTTGCCATCTGTTCCAAGGGCCGGTCTCTAATGTTTCTCCTGGGGAGGCCATGGATATAGGACAGGGACTGGTCTCCAGTTGGTACCGAGCTGCAGCGGGCATTTGCCTGGCTGGGAATCTTAAAGAAACAAAGACAAATGTTAGTAAGGATCAGAAGGGGAGAGGAAAAGAGAAAGAGGAAAGAAGGGAGAATATGAGTGAGGAACCAATCTCTTAAAACACATTCCCAGTTCCAAATGACTTCAGCCCATATAGTCATTGAATCATTCGGTCCCCAAAGAATAAAGCTTGCCTCAACATCAGTCTCAGCATTATGTGATTAACATCTGACAAATATATTAACAATAAAAACAATGCTGTTACACTTGTGCAAGAAAGAAGGTGTCTGTTGCAGACAATGGAAAAATAGGTAGAATGTAAGGTATTCATAGGCAAAAGTAAAGTTCTTATTAGAAGTAAGGGTATCCTTAAGCTGTTTTATTTTTATTTACTTATTTTTTAAGTAGGCTCCATGCTCAAAGTGGGGCTTGACCTTACAACTATGAGACTGAGGGTCACCTGTTCTACTGCCTGAGCCAGCCAGGCGCGCCCTTAGGCTGTTTTAATTAGCAGGTTGAGGAAGGGCAGCAAAGGCAGTTGTAAGTTTTGTCAAGAATGGAATAGAAGAGATTAAAAAGCCCAGCATGTTATATCCTAAGAGCAATATTATTAAAGGTTACAATAGAATAAATGATGGAACAAAGGTCAGTGATAAAATACCATTCCCTCTTGCAATGGAGTATGGAGTATGGTATATTAATTATGTTTTTTTTTTAATTTTCTAGATTTTATGATGTTTTGACATCTTGGGCAGGCTTGCTGGCTGGAAGAGACTGCCCTTCCCAGGGTTAATTAATTTCTCTCCAAGCAAATATTTCCCCTGCCCAAAATCAACCCAGTCCAGATACTAGACAGCTGGGGACAGCCCCTAGGCTCAAAGCCTGCTGGAATTTTTCAGACTAGACAGTCCTAAGCTGTTTACCCTACCCTGCCTTGCCTTTCCCCTGGAAACCTCAGTAAAGGCTGTAGCCTGTGCTTTCCCCTCACTTCTGTCTCCTGACTGAGCCTGGTGCTTCCCCATGTGATCCTATGCTGTCTCATGCCCCCTTTTCGTGGGAAATGTTAAGAAACTATTCTTTCAAAAGCAGTTGTCACTCTGTTACCTTGTCATACCAGATAAAAAAAATAACATTTTCGGTACAAATTGAGACACATGGTTATTTTTAATATCAGACAATTGAAAGGAGACAGTTATCAGAATGATTCACTGAAAACTGAATGTCTGTACTCAACTGATAGGCACGTTAAATAACCTGTCAGTATGGATAGCAACCTACAGGTGCTTTATAGTCACGAAGGATTTTACAGAAAAATCAAGAGGCTCTCTAGAGTGGGAAGAGTGAGCAGGAGTGGCAAAGAGTTCTAGAATAGGCATAAAAATAACAAGACACTTATTGGGCACAGACTCTGTACAAGGCACCATATGGATGCTTTGTTTATGTCATTCCGTTTAATCTTTACAACAAGCCTATAAGGGAGGTAGTGTCAGCATCCTTTTATATTTGGAAATCCAAGGCTTTCAGAAGTTAAGTATGTTTATTAAATATTAGTTAAGAAATATTCATGGCTTGCCTAACCTGGGCCAGGCAGGGTGATAGGCCCTACGGTGAACAAAACAGATTTGGTTCCTGCTCTCACAGAGCTCGCAGATGGTGAGGGGACAGCAAATACTCGTGACAGCACTGTATGGAGCAGTGAGGGTCACTGTCAGAACTGTCCACCGGTCCACCTGACCTGGACTTGGTGGCCCAGGTCTGGAGGCAATGACATTTAAGTCTAGGCTTGAAACCTGAGTTAGATTTGGATTTGGATATGCTAACGAGTACGGAGGGAGGAGAAGAGAAGAAGAAAGGGCCCAGGAAAAGGAAACTGGATATTGAAAACCTCAAAGGTACACACAGGCTCCTAAAAGAGAGAGGAATACTTCCAGGGCATAGTTTAAGTTTTGAAAAAGGCAAAAGTTAAGGCTGCAGAGGGAGATAGGAGAAAGGGCGTGAATCGCCTCAAGTCCGATTAGCCTCTGTGCTTTCTTCTGAGGGAAATGGGAGCCACAGAAATGTTTTCAGTAGAGCTAAGACTAGGTCAGAGTTGTCCCAAATTTACCCCCTAGTAAATTGTGCAGATAAGACTTGAACCCTGCTTTGTACCACTACCCCCAGGATGAGAGAGATTCCACATTCATTCAGTCCACAAAGCAGATTCATCCTGTAAAATATTTGGCTAGGCATTTCAGGTACTTCTTAGATCAGTATGTTTCATTGGAAATTATTTGTAATAGAAAACATTTCCATTTTCAGCCACATGTAAATTTTTTTTTGCCTCTGAGAATTGATGCACTTCTATATTGCAGTATTCTAAAGGAGCATTTATCAATACTTCATCATCCCAATGGAGTAAAGGTGTCCCTTTTCTCATTTAAAACACCAAAGTTTATTGAGTGCCTTCGTTGTCAGCACTACGGATACAGGTGAACAAGGCAGGTAGGATTCCTGCCCTCATAGATCTTTCAGCCTAAGTATCACAGAATAAATTTTATGGCTTCTCCTATGGAAAGAGGAATATATATTCTACTCCCAGGATTGCTGTGAGCAATGAGTATTACAATGTATTTTAAACATTTTGTGAACCCCAGAACTTTGGCTATTTGCTGTATATCTCCCTCCAATAGAGCGTGAATGCTGTGTGGGCCAGAACGGTTTTGTGTCCTGCTGACTCCCAGCATTTAAGAACAGTGCCAAATTGGAACAGCAAATAGAGAAACACAGTTTCAGAATGGTGATGATGACTTGTTCAGGCCCAGCCTACGCGAGGCTCTAGATTTCTCTCTTCACTGACATCAATCACCAAGTGTATCTACAAAGTGTCAAAGAAGATAAAATGGAAAACGTTGACTAAGATAATCACCATGTTTCTGACTTCAGGAGTTGCCAGAGTAACTATAAAATCTCCGGTTGTATAGGTTTCTGTCATTTGCTTTACTTTGGATCACAAAATAGTGCTTGTGGATGACACAATAGCCTGAAATGAGTTTGGGGCATAATACTAGTTTTGTGATATTTACCTAGAGGAATTGTTACAAATGGAGCACAGAAATCTAACACAGATTTGGTAATTCTTCTTGGGGTGTTGGAAACTTGCAAGTGTGAGGAGTGTACACAAGTCTTTTTTTTTTTTAAAGATTGCTTATAAATTATTTTAAAGCGGTTATATTGTGGAATCTGTGGACACTTTCCTCCAAGACAAGTAAACACAACAAATTGTCTTAATATTGTGCAATGCATAGCCGGGACTTGGGAGAAAATCTGCAGAGACAGCATCAAATGAAGATATGAAAAGTTCTGTTTCTTCAACATTTTAGACCAAGTTGTTGAAGTGTTCTAGAAAGCTGTTAAATGGCTCAAAAAGGGATCCTATCTTGTTGATAAATACAACAAGAAAGATGCATATAAAAAGCTTGGTAGGATTTCTCAAGAAATGTAGAATTGAAAAAAAAACAGTATTTCCAAATTAATAGATTTAACATATGATGTTAATATATACCTTAAACTAATACAATATTAGAATTAATCATTTGACTATTTTATTTATGTTTGTGAAAATTTTTATTTTCTTTACATTTTAACTTTATGGAAAGTTATAATTATGGAAAACTTCAAACATAGGCACATGTGCCCAGGATAGTATAATGGAACTCCATATACTCATCACCAAGCTGTAATTATCAACTGACATTCTTGTTTTATTTATACCCACATCACTCACCACCAGAAAGGAAGTAAACCACAGATGGTGTATTATTTCATCCACATTTTTTTCAGCATACATCTCTATAGCAGGGGTTTTCAGAGTGAGGTCCTTGAGCCAGAAGCCTCAGCATCACCTAAAAATGTGTTAGGAATGTGAATTCTTGAGGCCCAGCCCCAAACCCCTGAATGTGAGAATTTCTGGGTTCGGGGTCCAGAAATCTGTGTTTTAGTAAGCCCTCCAGTACTTGTAATGCATGCTAAAGTTTGAGAACCACTGCTTTAAGGATAACGACTCTTTGAAAATATAACCATGATAACATTATAATACTTTTAAACATGGTAATCCCTTAACATCATCTAATTATCCAGTCATTTGTTCCAAATCTCCCAATTATCTGATAAATCTTATTTTTACAGTTTGTTTATTCAAAACAGGAACCAAATAAGATCCATATATTGCAATTGGCTTCAATCTTTTACATCTTTTTAAATTTCTACTTCTTCCTATCCCCCCGCTCCTTTTTGTACAGCTTTTTTCCTTTGCAATTTATTTGTTGAAGAAGCTGTGTTGTCTGCCCTACAAAATTTTCCGCAGTCTGGATTTCCTTGCTTGTATTTCTATGCTTTTTAACAAACTGTCCCATATATTTATTATAAAATAATAGCTAGAACTAGGGTCTTGATCTTCTTCAAATTCAGCTGTTTTAAGCAAGATTGTTACATAGGTGGTACGTTGCCCCATGCAAACAAATGCTGTCAGGTTGTCTTGCTTTAGTCCATTTTTTTTTTTTTTTCATTAGCGTTTCGGAAATGATGATATTCTTATCCTATTATCAGTTCTCATTTATTAATAGATTAATGGGAATACTTTTTTACAGAGAAACTGCCGTCATTAACTATTATCTAAAATACAGTTTGTATAGAAAAGGCAAACAATAAATGCTCCTTTGATTTAACAGTTTTAAAAATAGTTTGTTCCCTAGCATTCTTCAGAGGTGACCAATGAATTTTTGTTTTTTTTCTAAAGAATCACTATAAAGTTAGAGATTTAAACATATATAATGCATTTAAATCATTATAATTGCTATGTTTACTGATAGCCAAAATATAAGTGGTTTGGGCTTTTCTTTATTTCCTTTTTTTGTTTTTTTTATAGTGAGAGCCATTTTAAGTTAGATTTCTTTTTTTTTTTTTTTTTGACAAGTCATGGAAGGTGTTTGTTATCTTAATTGCTTTTGGTATAAATAGATGTTCCAGGCTCAAAGCTGGGATT